TGCGGTACCTTGGTTTAAAACAGCTGGAAGTTTTGAGGGAAATTCATCCGAAAAGCAAGATGCAACATACATCTGGGCGCCTCTGTGTTTTACCCTCACTTTTTTTTATTTATTTCGGTATATTTTGCGACTGTATTAAACGTTACGAGTTTGCATTTTTTTTTACACAGCGAACAACAAACACAAGGTCCTGAAAAAGGGGAATAAGAAGTTAGGAACTTGTTAAAAGTGAAAGTTAATGGGGGGTGGGATTGGAAATCAATTGTGAGGTTGTGAGAAATAGTCTGGATTTTTTTTCTCACTGATCAGTTGGATATTAAGGTTCGTAGGAAATAGTTGGAAATAATTATATTTGCACTGAATACATTTACGAACTATTCCCCGAATGATTGGACTTACTATTGGGGGCAGACATATGAGGGTGCAAAATATTCTGATATATTTACACAAGTCGCATTTTACACATGAACACCCCCCACCCCCACATAAACCACTCTTGTAGCTACAAAAACAATTGAAATAACAGGATTTTTTNCTCTTAATTCGTACATCGAAAGCGAGGAAATACCGTCATATCCATAGAGTCTCTAAATGGATAAAGTCGTCATTCACTTTCCAAAGTAATTAATAATACGAAGCGTCTTACACACATTTTAATGTGGTGAGAGTTTACTTAACTAATGCAGCCATAAAAAGTCTTACCTATTCTAATGCATTGGAACTGAAGTCACCGCTATTTTCCATAACGTGATTATTATAACTTCTTTTTAAAACGCATTATATTTCCCTCGTAGTTTCTGCATTTAAATGACCACATGTGTGTGTGTGTGTGTGTGTGTGTTTAATAGTGATAACACAAGAGGGATCCCACAGAGAGAGAGAGAGAGAAAGACACACACCTAGAAAAATGGACATTGATTCAGAATAGACAATTCCACGAGGTACAAAGAAAGAAAGAAAGAAAGAAAGAAAACAGAATATATAATACAGGATATAAATAGTAAAATAAAAGGAGGGGGGGGGGTTGTTTTCAGGTAGCTATTGCTACAGATAGGCGATAATTTAATGGCAAGGTCAAGTCAATGTGTGTGTGTGTGTGACTGGGAGACTTGTGATTTGATTTGAACTGGTTTGGGAGATGGTGTAAAGGAAAGACTTTGGTCAGTCAGATGCTGAGCTTCCCTGGTGAGCAAGCATACACCCTGGGACACTGCATCCCAGGCAGATCAGACAGATTTCAACTGGTGATAGCTACCTCCCAGTGCTGGCAGTTTCTGAGCAAATGGCGACTAAAAAAAAATCTATTTATAATCTCTAGTGAGGGGGTGAGAATTCCGATTAATTACAAACTACAAGGAACCCAAACCGAGACGTTTCCACTAAGATCTCCCAGCAATACGATGCGTGAGAATTACAGGGCAATAAATTAACGACATACAAAGTGCTTAATATTTCTATTTACTGTAAAAATACAACAAATTAAAATCATTTTGCGTGGAGTTGGGAGAGAGAGAGAGAGAGATCCTAGTGTTAATACGTTGTGTGAAGCCTGTTGAAATGAGCGTTTCAAAGCGGATGCCTTTGAACAATTAAATATTAAATGATTTGATGGATTAAATATTGAGTTTGCTGCCTTGGACGTTTATAAACATCATCAAATAAAAATCAACGAATAAAAACAGTCGTTATTGGTGGTTGTGGGAGAGGTGAGAGAGAAAGGGGAGTTTGCAATATGATTGATTCGGTTTGATGTCGATTTAAGAGGTTTCAGGTTTTTCCAATCTCTATACAGATTGGCAACCAGTGTTTGGCTGTTTGTTACATATTCAATGATAACTGAATAGGGTCTCTAGTGCCCAGTAGGGCAGTCGCTTCTTCAAGTGTAATCCTTAAATGTGTGGATGTCTACAGCAAATATATATATATATACACACACTATCATTCCCACACAATTATTTACACGGGAAATCAGGACCATTCGGCCCACCCAGCTTGTTCATTTCAACTTATTGATCAATACTTGGCTTTGTGGCAGAGCAGAGAGCTGGGAGGGAAATATTACACAGCAAAGAGGTTCGAGATTAATGTGGTGCTGCTCTGTGGTTGAATGAAGAATCCACCAAACTTTGAAAGCCCAATATTCCAGCTGTGAGTCATGTGAAAAGTGGGTCTGAAAAATGCAAGTGAAGGTTTGCAGGTCAACATTCAAGGTTGAAAAGAGCAGGAGAGCTAAGGAAAGACCAGAGGTGACTGGTATCTCGGATGGTAAAAGCTCCTTGGTTTGTTCAAGGTAAGACTTGAAAGAATGCCCTAGGAGAGGGTGGGCCATGCTCAATTTACCCTATGGATACCCCTACCCCCATCTTCCCGGCCCTCCATCCCTCCTGATCCCACAAACCCCAGCTTGGGTGCAAATCTCGATTGTCTTGGGACATCTGCCGCATGTGAAAGGCACTGTGTAGATGTATTTTTTTTGCTATTGTTGGATGTTAACAGTGGTTTCGAAATGGAAATCCAGAATTATTCAACTTGCTTCAAATGTCTCTCATTAACGGAGTGTTACACAGGTGCGCAACTGAGTACATGGGTAGAATTCTAGTAACAGGGGAGTTAATCTTCACAAGTTAATAATAAAGAGCTCCAGTGCCTTCCAATTGTACTAGAAGGGTTGGGGCAGTGAGGAGAGCATTGGAGAGAAATAGAGCTGAGAATGCAAACCTGCTGATTCAGCAGTGGTAGTGATTGAGGAGTGTGTGAGGGACGATAATAATAATCCTTGTCTTTGATGTAACCCCTTATCATGTCATTGAGGCATTTGAGTGCCTCAAAGCACTTCACTGAATATATTGCAAAGTGAATTGACTGTATATTTTGTGGGCGGAACGCGACAGCCAATTGCACACAGCAGTGTTCCACAAACAGTCGTGGATTGAGTGACCACATTTTTTGGAGGGATTATTACCCCCGGAAAAGTGATCTGCCAATTGACCACATACTGACAACTAAACAGAGGTGTGTGCAGTAAGGAAACTTGCCGAAGGCTTCGCCCCGCTCAGGAATTGAACCTGGATCCTCTCGCTTGTGAGGTGAGAGTGCTACAGGACTTAAATGTTTCGATAGTGGACGAATGTGGTGTGTTTTGTAATGGGGCATTTTTTAGGGAGTTGGAACTCAGCTTGGGAGTTGGACAGAGTACCCAGGTTGTGCACTACTAGACTGAGTTCTAGAACCTGCAGTTTTACAGTGACGTTTACTTTAAACAGTCCATAACCCTGACTGTCCAGCACCTTGGGATGTGCTCCCATGGGGAAAGGCACTATACAAATGTAATTTGTTGTTGTTATGAAGTCTTGGGTGCTGCAATAGGAGATTTTTTTCAATTGTCCTCTTGTCAGTGTGTTGACCTACTAGTTTACGTGTAGACCGGGAGCAGATATTTTGCATTTTAATGGCTCCCTTTATGACGAGAAAGGTGAATAATAATCCTTACATTTGATATAGTACCTTTCATGTTGGGATGCCGTCTCAAAGCACTTCACAGGATATAGTGTAGTGCATATTTTGTAGACAAACACGGCAGTCACTCTACTCCCTGCAATGACCCACCAACAGCCATGACCAATTTGATCTGAGAGATTATTGGCCAGGACATTGGGAGAAAGTCCATTCTCTTTTTCGAATAGCGCTGTGGGATCTTTAACGTTCATCTAAGCAGGCAGACTGGACCTCGGTTTAACATTTCATCCGAAGCACAGCACCTCCCACAATGCCTTTCCCCCAGCACTGCACTGGAGAATCAACCAAGATGATGAGCTCCTAATGTGGGGCTTGAACCCACAAGCTTCTGGCTTGGAGGCAAAAGGTACTACCCACTTGGAGGGGGATAATGTTCTGCACAAAATATCTGCTCACAAACTGCTTCTAACCACGAGTTTTATAGTGTGTAACAGACTGACCAAGGACACCTAAGAGAAATATTCAGGAATGTGGACCAATTCAGTAGAATATATTTCCCCTTTAAAGGGATTTTATTAATATTAAATACGCATGAACCCAATGAGGGTGGTACAGTGTATTGATGCATCGCCCACAAAATACACAGTCACTCCACTTTATAATATATTCTGTGAAGCACTTTGAGACATCACAACGACATGATAATGAGCTATATCAAATGCAAGGATTATTATTGTTATTATATTGCGGGGCAATGGGATGTGAGCTGGATTTGATGTTTACCTTTGTGAAGAACTCTTGAGCCAAAAGGGCACAGTAACAGGTTGGAAACTAGGTCAGAAGGTTCCCTGGAAGAGCTGTGACTGAGACCTGCCTCAGCAAGTCTGAGCTGTTTTACAGTAGAATTGGCGAAAAGCCTGGAAGCAAGTTTGTTCAACAGCAATCTATAGATGGTGTGGAATGAATGAATGAATGGATGGACCTTGGCCATTTTTCTCCTAGCATTTCCTAAGTTCCTATGAATTGGGAGTGAGGAGTATATTGGAGGCACGGCGGGTGGGGGAATAGAGCACTGAAAATGAAAATACAGAGCAATGTCAAAGCACTAACAATGGAGACTATCAGCAGCATATATTTGCAGTGAAGAGATGAGTTGTGAAGATTCCAAATTATGTCCTTGAGAGAGCTTAATCTGCGGGGCATTCGGGGTTATTGCCTTAAAATAGGCAGCTTCGGGTGCTGTTAAGGCTACTTAGGGGTTGTTTCTCTTTTTTTGGAGGGGGTGGATTGCTTTATAATTCCAACCGCATCAGAAAGGCATCGCAAGTATGAACTGAAAGATCTCTGAACATCTTCTTCAAGAGAGCGTGGATCTGCTGTGTGTGTGTGTTTTACTTTTAACAACTACGCAATGTATTGCCTTTCTAATGGTTGGCCAGTTAGGTGCCAAGGGGAGGATTGGTCAGTCAGTCAGTCAGTCAAGAACAAAAGACAGATGTGCTTTGCATTGTCACTCACAGGGCTGAGCTGGGCCGGGTCTGCCTTCAGTGCCTGCGGCTGAGACGCGAACCCTTCCTCTTCGAATCGCTCTCGTTTCTCGTGGACTTTTTGCCCTTCTTGACGCAGAAGTACTTGGTGACTGTTTTCCTGCACTGCTCGCACTTCACGGCGCAGCACCAGTGGAACTTGCAGTTGCAACTGCTCATCATCTCCGCCCTGCGCTCCTGCACGCCCAGCCCGCAATCCCCGCACAGCCGCTTGCAGCTCCGTTTCTCCCACTTGCTCAGCTGTTTGCCCTTCTTGACGCACTCCCTGCCTTCCGTGCCCTGCAGCCCCAGGGTCTTGTTCTCCAGGCAGTAATCGGGGGAATCCTCCAGGTGGACCAGTTCCTTCTTGGAGATGGCGTTGAAGGTCTCGGCAATGGCGCCCCGGCTGGCTGCGCTGTTGCCTGCCCCTTTAAGGAGGTCGACTTTGAGCGCCTTGTGATACTTCTCCTTTAAGTAGTTGCCCACCTCCCGAAACTCGGAGAGCTGGAGCCAGCAGGTCTGTGTAGTGCAGCTCCCAGACACGCCGTGACACTTACAGGTCTGTTTCATGGTACCCTTAACTGCCTGGGGAAGAAAGGTTTCACACAATTTATCGTCCATGCCCCAAACATAACAATAATTCTTGTATTTGATAAAGCGCCTCATCACCTCGTTGAGACGTCTGAACGCGCTTCACAGGACGCACTGTAAAGTGGAGTGACTGTGTATTTTGTGGGCGAATCGCAGCAGCCAGTTGTGCACAGAGCGCAGTGTCCCACAAACAGTGGTGGAGTGAGTGACCAATTTTATTTGGGAGATTGTTGGCCAGGACACCGGGAGAGAGAAACTCCCTTCTCTTTTCGAATAGTGCAACGGGATTTTTAACGTCCACCTGAACAAGCACAGACAGGATCTTGGGTTTAACATCTCATCCTAAGGACAGCACCTCCGACAATGCAACCCCCCACCCCCTCCCACTTCCAGCAATGCCCTGGAGTGTCAGCTTGGACTATGGGATTCCAAGCCCCGACGTGGGGTTTGAAGCCACAACCTTCTGACTCCGAGGCGAGAGCGCTACCCGTTGCACAGGGCTGACACACAGTAGAAGGAGATGAACATGAGCGAGCTACCTTCCTGCCGGCCTCGTTGTTGTGGAGGTTCATGGCGGCTCTGGCGTCCTGTCCCGTCTCCAGGGCGTCCACGAACTGCTTGGAAATGGCTTCCCCAAAGCCTACGTTATCGCTGCAGCCTCCCCACAGCCAGCCCTGCCCTCCTGCAAAAGTCAAAGGGCGGTTGGGTGAGCCGTGTTGCCAACCCCGTCACGCGAAGACCTCTCGCCTCCAGCCTGCGCCTGGCACATTTCTGGAGCCGTGGCACTTACCCAACTGTCCGTTGCGTGAATCGTCGCACCCGCAGTTATCAAAATCGCCCAAACTACAGTTCCTGGTCAAAGTATACATGACCCCGGCAGAACTGATAGCGTGCACAAAGGCAGCCTCTCGGTTTGCTGTGGAGTTAACGTGTACAGGTTTAGATATTACAGAATCCCATAGCTAGTAGTTAGCGCATTCACCTCACCAGCGAGAGGACCCGGGCTCGATTCCCTGATGGGGCAAAACCTTTGGCAAACTTCCTTACTCCACACGTGCCTCTGTTTACCAAGCAGTAAGTAGGAACACAGGTGTTAGTCGATGGGCAGGTCACTTTCCGGGGTAATAATCCCTCAAAAAAAAACAATAATAATTTGGTCACTCAATCCACGACAATGTTTGTGGGACACTCGATTTATAACTGGTGCAAGTGGCTGCTGTGTTTTGCCCTCAAAATACAGTCAATCCACTTTACAGTATATTCTGTTAAGCTCTTTGAGACGTCTCATTGACGTGATAAGATGCTATATCAAATGCAAGGATTATTATTAATATTCATAACCAGAAAGATGTTCGTGGAACAGAACTCCATTTTTATTTTAAAAAAAACTGGAAAAGGGAGAGAGATTATAAGAGTTTGGGTAAATTAAGAATGAAAAGAAACTCGGGATAGGGTTGGGAAACGGAGTGAGGTGATGACAGAAATGCAGAGAAAAACCGACCTACAAGAAAATAGAAAGAAAACCGTACGGGGAGAGAGAGTTGGGGGAGTGGGGTGTTGAGGAAAAAGAATAGACAGATCATAATAATCCTTGCATTTGATATAGCACCTTATCATGTCTTCGAGACGTCTCAAAGCGCTTCACAGAATATACTGTAAAGTGAATGGACTGTATATCTTGTGGGCAAAACACAAAGCCATAGGCAAAAGCCAATGGATGCAGTAAAAGGGGGGGAAACACACGAACAGTGATGGGAGAAGATACTGACTGATAGTGACGGGAGACACAGTGACAGGCAAGAAGGGATACTCTGACAAGCAGTAATGGGGGCACTGATGAGCATACAGTGACAGTGACAGGCAGTGGCAATGAGGGACCAGATTCCAAGGAAGCTGGATTTGTGCAGGAGCAGAGGCAGCAGCCTATCACAGACCCGGGATAACCCCACATGAAGGGCGATATATCAATACAAGATGATGTTGTTGTCAGCGCTGCTTTAGATGTTGCTTGGGGCTGCAGTAATTCCACCCACCCTGTGGAGTCTGTATGTAAAGTGAGGTGCTCACCACTCCTCAGGCCGCTGTGTGTGGACAGCTGCAGACCTCTCTCGGGGCAGTTCCACCGGTCCCAGGCGAACTGATGTTTGCATTCCTCAATTCCACTCTGGGCACCCGCTGCCACACTGCTGGAGTAGATCAGATACGCCTACAGGAGGCAAAAACAGAAGCCATCAGGAGCAACCTGAGGTCCATCCCCATTGACCCAGAGAAGGAACATTTAGTTGCTAAAGCCAGGCGCCTCCCTTTTTGCGGATAATGTAAACCGTGATAATTGTTTTATCTTGTCCAGAATAGTAGAACCAGAATACATGGCCTGCGATTGAAAGGGGGTAGATTCAAAATCAATCTGGTAAACACTATCTGAGTGAGCGAGTAGTAAATGTATGGAACAGGCTCCCTAGGGAGACGGTGGAAGCAGAAAGTGTCAACTGTTTCAAAAGCAAATGAGACAGATTTGTTTTAGGAAATAATGACTTGGGTTACAGTATATAGTTTGGGACATGACATGTACAAACGACTACAGGAAGGTGGAAGGTGAACTGGATGGACCTTGGTCTTCTTTCGTCTAGCAATTCTAATGTGTATACGGCATAGGAAGATTTGTTTTGTTTCCTCCTGAACTCCATCCCAGAGACCCCCGCCTCGCACCTCCTCCCATCTCAAGACCTTCCCTTTTAACTGTGCCTTCGGTCATCTAACCTCCTCCACACCAAGCCACCAGCTCGGGTGCAAACCCCTGATTGCTCATCGCCTTGGGACATCCTCCCAAATGAAAGGCGTTACATAAATGTAATTTTGTTTTTTTGTGGTGGATTTCGAAAGAATCGCTAACTTAAACTTCAATGATAAATGTGTATCAATTCTGAATGTTTCTGTTAAGGTAGCTTTGAAACGGAATTTTTAAAAAAGTTACAAAAATATATATGAACAATTCAATTTGTTTCTGTCTCGAATGCTCATTTGTGTTTGAAGGAAACACAGCAAACAAGTGCTTTGACTGGATTCCCCCAAACATCAGTTGGCATTATGTCTCAATGACAGGATAAGGCACCATATCAGAATTATTATAATTATTTATTATTTTGGAGCAGACTGTATCAGGCTGCCTTTACTTAAAAAAACCCTCAAAAATATTTTGTAGACAGCTTTAAAAAGAACAACATTAGTGGAATGATGTCTGGAATTGGACACAACAGGCAAAACAGCCAAAAAAATTAGCTACGTATCTTGAGACTGATCCTGTTTGTTCAGTAACAAGACTAGGAGGGGAGCATTAATTACCTAATGGGTTCCCCCTCCCTCATGCAATACAACCATCAACCCCTTCCCCCCCCCCCCCCCCCCCCATTTAAAAAAAAGCCTGTATATTGATCACAGCAAACAGCAGTAAGGACTGGCTGACTACATGTGGGTTTAATAACTGCATTTAATCCTTATTAACTGTCTTTTTCTGTTTGATCAAAAATAAAGTGCACATTTCAGAAGGGTACAGTGAACGAAATGGCACTTTTTAAAGTTAAGGTTGTGTACCGATTGTGTCAGGAGGGAAGGACAAAGAGAGAAAAGATTGGCACAAAGCTGAGATCTAACGGGAGCTTTGCTAGATGCAGGTAGCGACTGTGTGTTCTTGAAATGGACACGATTCACATCTCAGCACCTGTTTTGTCAGTTTCACACAATGTGTGCAATTTTTTTGTAGTCTGACATTATTTCATACAATGCGTTCATTGTACGATATTATTTCATATAATGGGCTTTTTCCCCCCACTTCCAGAGGTGTCGATTCAATCCCCCAAAACACTCAATGAGTGTCAATTAAAACCCCTACGCCCCCACCCAAGAAAGCGATATTTTTTTATTTAATTTCTAATTTGAACCCATTGAAAAGTAAAATGTTGACTCCTCTCACTTTTTTTTTCACGTTTTATTTTGCTAAATATTTATTTTTTCATTTAACTATGGGGTAAAGTTGGGGGAGAGAGGCGTGAGTAGAAGGATTGAAAGAGAGAGCGAGAGAAAGAGAGAATCAAGTTCACTATAGTAGAAAAAAGGTTATTATAATGTAGGAATGTATAGCAAGAACATTTCAGAACTGCTTTTATATGGAGCGAAGAGACAAATGCAGAACATTATTCCACACACACACTGACAATTAACCTTTAAAACCTAACTCCAACTTTTCCATTCTATCTTCCAAATTTCAAAACTGTTTTTGAAACAAATGTATATATTATTTTTTTTAAGTTACAATGTCTCGAATTAAAAGGAGATCAAAACAAATTCCCTTACCTTAGGGCCAGTCATCAGAAAATTGTTCACTGACCTGGAAGAAAGCGAGAAGAGATGATTAAGTTGCAGAAAGCTCCCAACTTTGCCCTCTGAAAAATATTTGGAATATTTTGGGGAGTTTTTTTTTTCCTTGTCTTTTTTTTCTAAATCCTTCAAAAGGCTTCTGAAGAGACTTTCTCTTTTTTCCCCTCTCACCCTCTCCCCCCTCCTCTCTCTCATTAAAGTTTGTCTGCGAACTTAAGCTGATAACTTTTGATAGTAACCCATCACATGATGAATAAAATGGGACCCCCATACACATACAGACACACACACACACACACACACACAGACAGACGCAAAAAGCCTTTGGACTATCGATTGATCGGTTGATAAGGAAGGAGCCAAGGCAGAGAAACCAGCAATAAAATAAAGTGAGCACATATCTATTTATGTAATTAACACCTCCAAAAGTTGACTTACCAGGCTCGACCCAATTCTAGGTAGATATTCAAAACGAAGATTGAGTAGAGCTTGAATAACATTATTCCTGGTGATCAAAGATGAACCCTAATAAAAACCGAGGGAAGGGGGAGAAGTTAGTGGAGTCGTTAACCGGACTGGACGATTTGTAGACAGTTTCTGGGGTATAGAGTTGCCATGTGTGAAGCGATGGATGTGAAATGGAGCTTTTCTCATCCAAGCTTCAGATTATCTACTTAATTACAGATCTCCCTTCTCTGCCTCACGCAGCCAATCAGGACTCAAGTGGGTAGGGATTTTGCATTGATCAAACGCACAAACTCCAGGGGTCTTTGGTGGAGAGAGAGAGAGAGAGAGACCCTACAGACTGGGGAAAGAGATACTCAGATAGACAGAGAGAGAGAGAGAGTCAGAGACAAACAAAAGGGAGAGAGGAAAAGTAGACTCTCAGAGAGAGACAGATGGAGAGAGCGATGGAGTGAGAGGAGAGGTGTAAGGACAGATACAGCCATATTTTCGCCCACAAAATATACAGTCAATTCACTTTACAGTATATTCTGTGAAGCCTTTTGAGACGTCTTGAAGACGTGATAAGGTGCTATGTCAAATATAAGGATTATTATTATAGACAAATAGACAGAGAGAGACACACACACACATACACTGACCAAAACAGACAAGAGAAACATATACAGAGAAAGGGAGACACACAAACACACACCAGACAGAAAGAGATACGGAAAGATAAATTCCACCTGAGTTTAGATTTAACTGTATGTAGCATTTAAGAGCACTCACAGTTTAAAGATATCTTTCATTTTGAAGCCACGTTTTCTGGAATTTCTCTTAAGAAACTACTGCATTGCACGCTGCAAAGTTAAGGAAGAAATCAACAGGTTGTCTGTCACATTCTTGATGCTCTTAGCTGCTGCACAAAGCAGATAGTGTGGGGAAACTAGAAACAAACCAAGATGGGTCACAATATATATTCCTTGAAAGAAAGATTCATTTTGGTGCATGCAATCATGCATTTCAGAGCATTGCTTACAAACAGACGACTTGCAGACTGACTGAGACTGACAGGCTGACAACTAAAACATAGAGAAAGAAGGTAAATAAAATAAATTAATTAATATGTGAACAATATTCAATGCAACGAGGTGTGAAGAGGTGTCTTTTGTGAGCATGGGAGGATTTATTTAGCTGTGTGAGACGGGAAGTTTTTTAACATACGAAGTGGTGGGGAAATGTCCCGGCAGTAATTTTAAATTTCCCCATCAGTAAATTGTCCTTGCATCATAATAATAATAATAATAATAAAGGTGATGACGATTTCATTTGCAGTCACCAAGTGGTCACCATTTAGGCAGTTTTTATAGAATTTTAGGCAAGTGTTACAGAATATTATTTGATAATTAAAGACATCATATGATTATTATTTATAGATTCCGGCTTTCATATCATTTTAATCATCCTAAGGTTTGAAACAAATACATGAAGCGTTGTTTCATCTGTAGAAATCTGTGTTTAAAGCTTTTGGATGTGAGATAAAAGTGCCCCTTTGAGTTCAGTGCCTATTAGTGATAATTTCTTAAACAATGCTCTGATGTGAGGTTTGCAAGGCCGTTTATCAAAAGGTCAGATACAGTAACGCACCACGATTACTGATGGTGTGGGGTTATGTGGAGCCCAGTCGAGTCTTTAAAAACTCGCACAGGGATGTTCACAAAGTCCTGTTACCTTTTTTTTCTTTCAACAGCGCGCTGACCAACAACTGAAACACATGAAAGAATGATAATAATTGTGTTTAGAACTACTTCACTACATTCAGTACAAGTGTTTAACTGTATTTAGATGTCCAGAGGATGTGTGTGTGTGTGTGTGTGTGTACATCTTCCATAACATGGATGGAGTGAGGAGGAAGTTACTCACTAACTTAACTTAACTTAACTGGTATCAGACAATGTTACACTCGACTCGTCTGCAACCGAAAATAAATATTCATTGTAAGAGAGAGAAAAAAACTCGGGGTGTAACAGAACTTTGTGAATACCCTGTAGATGGTTAGAGGAGTTTTACAAAAGACTCTTTTTTTGTTTTAAAACAGAGATAACGATGGTTGCCTTAGAATTTCTCTTTTGCTGCATGTATTTCCTATATACAGTAATAATAATAATCCTTGCATATGATATGCATTCAATGTGTTTCACCAGCTGTTAAATAATACAATAGTATTTATTTAAACAATATTGTTTATTATGAGAATTTGTTACAAAAATAAGATTCCCAACAACTGAGCCCCAAGTCTTTCTTGTATCAATGTTGCTCAATTTCTAGTATTTAAACAGATGAGATGGTCTTATTAATAGCCCGATCCCACCACAGTTACTCAGTAGAATACTGATGTCTCACACAGCCCTATGTGCAATATAATGGCGGAGAAGATCACAGGCTCCAAATGTGAATTATGCGCTTTGAGATCTGTTTTAAAATCGAAAGGAGAGAGGCAAGGATGAAGGCATGGGAATGGTGCATTGCTCCCAGATGCTCCGTTTCAGCTCAGAGAGTGTCAGACAGACCCATCATCTCCAGCATCTTCAACCCACATCTGGGACGGTCTGTCCAGGCAAATCCGAACCATATCAATAAGCTGGTCTCTTCTAGAATTCATCAGCTGATAATGAACCCTTAGTTCTGGTGGCTTTTAAAAACCATCTGAAATAAATAGAGAATAGGCACTACCACAGTTATAATAATACTAACAATAATTCTTGCATTTGATATAGCACCTTACCATTTCATCGAGACGTCTCAAAATGCTACAGAATATACTGTAAAGTGGAATAACTGAGTATTTTGTGGGTGAAATGCAGCAGCCATTTGCACTGGGAAAGAGAAACTCCCTTCTCTTTTCAGACAGTGCCATGTGATCTTTAACATCCACCTGAACAGGCAGACGGGACCTCAGTTTAACGTCTCATCCAAAGGACAGTTTTACCAGTTGCTGTTTTAACTATTATCCGTAACGCCCACAATACCCAGGCTTAGAGTTAGTAACCAGAGTACTACCTTTAATGTTAGTACAGATTAGGGTCAGGATCACAAGAGAGGCTCGAATAATAAAGACCCTTTAATCCATTTGATCTCATCTTTCAGAATATCCATCCCACCATCCTGTCATCACAGCATCAAGCTGTGTTTTTTAAAATGAGTCCTGGCCTCAATCACCCATCCTGATCATCTGTTCCCATCATTAATTAGCCTTCAAAGAAATGCTTCCTGGTGCTTGTCTTGAAATTGCCCTTATTGCAACTCTAAACCCGTGTCCTCTTGTTCTACTCTCTCAGTGCATCCGAAAGTATTGTTCTAAATTTACTTTCTCAATCCCATTTAAAATAATAATCTTAATCCTCACATTTGATATTGCACCTTATTACACTGTCAACACGTTTCAAAGCGCTTCACAGTATTTTACTGGAAAATGGATTCACAGCATTTTGTGGGTGAAATCTCATAGTATTAGACCATGGTTCTCATTAAAGCCACTATTTTAATAATAGTTAATAAAAGTTATTGCATTTCATAGCGTGTCTTGTTATGTCATTGAAATGTCTTAAAGTGCTTCGTAGGATTTACTGCAAAGTGCAGTGACTATGTATGTGCAGGTGAACACAGCAGCTTACTTGTGCACAGCAATATCCCACAAAAACACCCATGAAGTGAATGACTAATTTTATTTGGGGTATTGTTATCCAGGACACTAGGAAAAACTCCCCTCTCGATTTGAATAATGCCATGGGATCTTTAACATAATAATATAATAATGCAAGGACTATTATTATCTTTAACATCCACCTGAACAGGTAGGCTGGACCTCAGTTTAACGTCTCATCTGAAGGACGGCACCTCCAACAATGCCGCACTTTCCCAGCACTGCATTGGAATGTCATCTTACCCTAGATTAAAGGAGTTCACGTTGTTAGGGCTTGAACCTATAACCTTCAGAGCCCCAAAAAACAGGCATTGAAGAAGTTTGTGAACAAATGGAGAACAAAATAGCCAGGCTAGTTGATTGGGCACAGAGATGGCAGATACAATTTAATGAACAAAAAATCTAAGGTTATACATTTAGGGAAGGAAGGAGAATAGGAGGATCAGGTACTGTATATGCTAAATGTTAATCTTTTTAAAAGGAGCAGAAAGACCTAGGGGTTAACATGCATAAATCTTTGAGGGGGGTGGGGGAAGGCAGGTGGACAAAGCTGTGGAGAAAGCAAATGAGATCTTAGATTTTAAAATAGGAGTTTACACTATACAACCATAGGGGCGATGTTTAACCTGTATACATTATTAGTTTGATTCAAGCTAGAGTGTTGTGTATAATTTTGGTCACCCCACTTTAGAAAGGATGTCAAGGCCACAGAGCAGATGCAAATCATGTCATCCAGTTGCACACAGTAATGTTCCACAAACATGGAGTGAATGACTGATTATATTTGGCTGGTTGTTGTCCAGGACACCGGGAGAAACTCCCTTCTCTTGGTAAATCGTGCCATGTGATCTTCAACATCCACCTGAACAAGCAGTCGGAACCTAAGTTTAGCGTCTCATCCGAAGAACAGCACCT